TCATCTCTTTCTTCCCACCCTTTTCTTTCTCTCTGGTGTTGTCCCCCCTTCTACTCAATGATGCTCACTGATCCAACCTCTTTTATTTGGCTCGGCTTCCCCCGGTATTGGCGTTGACTAAAAAATAATGGCAACGGCAATGCGACAATGGGCATCTAAGCCTCCGTCGCCAGCATACTTGTTTCACACGAGGACGAAGAGCTCCTAGCCTCGGCCTTGGGGCGCCATTCAAGGTATTTCCCCGAAACCGAGACCGCTTTTCTTTATTCCCTTTCCTGGTTCGTCCCACGATTGTGCGGCAACGCCCGCGACGGCGTCGTCATCGATGCCTGAGGGAAAAGAACTCAATCCCCCTCCCCACCAGAAGAATAGGCGACCCCAGAAGGGTGAGCTTCGCCTGGCGTGTCTTTCTCTGTTCGGTCAATCCCAAGGACCGCGCCCTGTTTCTTGATAGAAGACACCGAAAGCCACTTGTTCCGCTCCCAAGCCAACCTGTCAATCCCCCTCCATTGGCCGTGTTGTTGTTCCCCTCCCCTCAGCCACTCATCTCTCAAATCTTTGACCAGGGTGTCCGCTTGTCCCCTAAAAAAAATCTGCCTAATGCCTAATCCCCAATCAAGCCCTGTTTTATGTCGAATGACCGTTTTTCTATTTCTCGCCTTCAAGATTGATCTGTAAGAAGAGTCCTCAATACTTTGGTAGTTCCGTTGGCGCTGGTATGTTCGTCAAGTCGATAAGACTTGTTGCCCAGTTGCATACTCTTCGATGGGGGGGGTGCTTCACTCCAAAAGTCTACGGAGCTGTTCGGCCAATAGACCATCTGCATCCCATCTGTGCCGAGTTTCGCGAGTTTGCGACTTTGTGCTCTTTTGCCAGCCTGCCCACGTAGAAAACTCAAAAGCCGGAGAGATAATCCTAAAGAATATTTTTCAAACCACTCCTCTCCAGGCTCATCCAATATCTTCTTCATGGTATACGACTCGTGTCGATTTGTCTTTTTCCCTTTTCGCCCTTGTTATTCCAAATGATGCCGTCAATTTGTATACCTGTAAAGCCTCCTCCGTGACAGAATAGGACAACTCCTCCTCTCCCTCCTCCCTCTTACCTTCCACGAGTGGCCTGGCGAAATCGAGATGTCGGCCCAGGTAGACCTTCCCAAGAGGTCTTCTTTCCCTCAAATCCTGAAGGCAACGAACCTCTTGTCACCCTTCAAGAAAAAAATCCGTGGTATGCGAGGGAGTAACCGGAAACAACATTCTCCGGTCTCCCCTTTCAAAGCCTCTGAGCCCACATCCTCCGGGGAGAGTATCGCGATTCGAGACGTGACGAAGTATACACCGGTGCCTCCGTTCGAGGCCCAGATTGAAGTAAAGGCGAAACCGGGCCCGAAGTATCCGCAAGCACGGGCGAACAATGCCAGCCATCAACCTTTCGAGAATGCCGAGACATCGGTAGTCGGTCCGTCGTCTATTGTACCATATCCCATCGCTCAACCGGGTCCCCTTCGGGTGACTCTCACCACTCCTTACCAGGAGCTCCATAACTATACCGCTCCCATCCGCAAGCCTTCCCACGCCGAGGCGATCACGCTCAATCCCAAGGACTCCATCCTAGTAGCACTTAAACCGGTTCTTCAAGGACACGAGCCTTCCCGAGACCCGTACGGCAAGGCTTCATTGACTCGCAACCTTCCTCATGAGGGCCATATCAATTTCTCTCTTTCGACGCCCCCCTTCATCATCCGCCATCACCCGTCATTCGACACCGACGCCGGACGTTGGCAAAATAACATCGCCCCTTCGGTAGTCTTCGAGGGTACTGACATTGTTGCCGTGTCACCGTACCAGACCCGCCCTCCAGCCGGTGCTAATGTCAACAATAGTCGCAAGTCTAGTCGGCAGGAGAGCGCTGATGATGCTGAGAAACAGCGAGGCGCCAATAAACGTCATCGACGCAATGGTGACGGCGCCGGTGGTAGATCAGGACGAACACCGGGCGGTGGCGGCAACAGCAGCGGCGGGGGCGGCGGGGGCGGCGGGGGCGGCGGACATGGTGGTGGCGGCGGTACCGGAAGCTTGAACGAGGCACGTGGGGCCAATGGACGGCAGTTTGCCTGTCCTTACTATAAGTTGGACCGGGTTAAATACCAGGCCTGCTTATTTCGGCAGAGCTTGAAAGGGACCAACTACGTGAAGCAGCATTTAGCGCGCTGCCACGGTCCCCACTACTGCCCCACCTGCGGCGAGCTATTCTCCCAAGAGGGTCATTGGAATGACCATATCCGGGATGGGGGGTGTGAACCGCGAGAATTCACGTTGGATGGTATGACAGCAGAACAGAAGCAGGGGCTCGATACCCTTTCGCGGGGAGGTAACGAAGTGGAACGGTGGTTCCGTTTATGGGACCATCTCTTTCCCAATACGCCACATCCCTCAACTCCCTACCTTGACGACATTCACGTCGAGGTGCTTGCTTTGGTCGTGAGGGGATGGGCCGAGAAGGGCGGCCTTGAGCAAGTCCTTTCGGCTCACCTTGGCTCCGTTGCCGAAGACCAAATGCAAGGAATCCGTCGTGATGTCTGTGAGGGAGTCGAAAACTATACCCGAGAGCTACTCAATCAAGGACGAGAAGATGTCTCTACTGTACAGGACCATAGCCTAGCTATGATCCCATCACAGTCGGCGTCGAGTTCCGCTTTCGAGGTCTTGTCTGAAAGCCATAGTGATTCCCGTCAGGCGGGAAGCCAGGAGGCAGCACGCTACCCCCCCAGCGAAGCCCATTCAAGCGGTCGCCCCGGCTCTCAACTAGTTTCTCCAACGAGTCACTACCAGGGCTACAACTTGCGTCCCGACGTCGGCCCACCCATGTTCTTCCAAGGCCATGGCAGCGGCGGCTATGGCGGGCATGGCAACGCCCACTCGCATGTTGGGCTCACTGCCTCTCAGGGTGTTCCTGTCACGAGCCACTTTGGCCCCAACAACATGAACCCCATCGGGGCCTTGCCGTCACAACCCCGCAACTATGGAGTCGGCTACGAAGGACAAGGCAACGCTCACGCGTTTCATGTGCAGGCTTCTGCACAAGCTTCTGCCCAAGGCTTCCAGGCCGTGCCGAGTTTCCTTGAAGAAGACTGGGGTCCCTTGCCCCAGGGAGACGACATTGACATCGGCCCTGTTTTTGAGCCAGGAAATGATCTTAACCTATACAACTTCGGCGCTGGCCTAGGAGGCTTCCAGGGTCTCGTGGGAGATGTCTTTGAGGATGAACAGGACGCGCAAGATCATTCATAATGAGGGCGCACCGTCGATAATACGCCAGAGGTGTGAACGCTCGTTTGGAATATCGCATGTCACCACTGAAGACTGGGAGGGGACGGAGAAGAGGAAGAGGGGGGAGGGGCCTCAAATTAATACCCAGATCCTGGAGATGATGTGACATCAGCGATATCCCGTTTGAATTGCCCTCTCAGAACAACTCACCGGGCAAGAGTCGAGGAGATCAGTATACCAGTTTGTTGTTTGAACATTTGTTCACTCCAAGCCGACGAGCATACCGAAAAGGCAAGTGGTATCGATCCTGAACTCTAACAGTGACCGACAGGAACGCCTTATGAAAATCAAGGGGTTCTGTTGAGAGGCGATGGGCAAACTTGGCCTTGCCAACGACAGGGCAACTGAGACTTGGCCAGCAGAGGCCGAAGAAGGAAGAGCCTGGGTGGGGAAAAGTGAAACTTTTGAGCGACGAGATATCCCAATGCCGGGCTCGAAATGGCGTACGGGTACTGCATGGCGTGTATTAATTTTGTTTTCTTTTTTTCTTCCCGTTTCTCTCCTCTCTCATATTTTGTTGCCAGGCCCTTTCGATATAATATGTTCGTTCACACTCATTTAGGGCATGTAGGTGATCTGGTTTATGGTTCCGCATTTGGAAGTGCGTGTGTCGTTGCAGGCTCTTTGTATAGTCGCCCACGCATGCCGATCCTTCAACTGGCTCCGTCACAAGTTTAAAATGGCAGAACCAGGATGAAGGGTTGGTTTGTCTTGTGCCGAAGAGGAGAGAAGGAGATGTGGGAAGAAGTGAGGTGGGAAGAGAGGGAGACGGAGAGAGACGGAGAGAGACGGAGGCTGTTTTAAGAGATTGGGGGGAGTTCGAGGAGAAGCCATGGATTCCTTGTCTTTAATAGGCACTAGCCTCGTCGAACGTCGCGATTTTTGCACGTCTCGAATGTGAAAGCCACGTGTAACAATGTCAACCTCTTCTAGGCCTCGGTAGAGATGAGGCAAATGGTAGGGCGTCGTATCGGGGACGAGATCCATCTACTCGTTTGTGACGAGTACCACGAAGATGAATTGACCGAGAAGGTGAAGTAGAAAGGGGGCAATGCCATCAATTATCCTCGTAGGTAATGACTCATTTTTTTTTTTTTCAGATTGATTAGAGCCCTCGAGGCTGAACTCTAGATCCCGTTCGATAGGAAATGGAATCAGTAAGACTAAGGCAGCAATGGCACAGCATCAATTGGTGATGCTGTGTTGATGATGGACGAGGAAACATCACATTGGCGAATAACATTGCGGGAGTGATCGCGTCGGCGGAATTCCATGGGTGCCCAATGATCATCTGGCAAACAGTTGTGTACAGGTGGTTGCTTCGTCAGCTTTGTGCATCACTCAACGCGTGATGGACGCAAGGGCGCGTCATGCAAATTCGAAAGTCACGAAGTCACCGTGTCACACACAGGCAGCCCCAAACTGCATCTCTCAGTCCCCCGATTTGGTTGGCGCACCTTTTCATCCCACCAGGAAACTGAAAAGTTCTCGTTTTTCCATTCTCCCTTTTCCGAAGGCTTGCGATTGAATATTTTCGACTCTCGATTCACTTCTTCGCGCCAATTTTTTTTGACCTGTCAGTTACATTGGCAGACGACCTATCTCGACACAGCGTGAACATCTACACCCAAGCTTGCTCACAGACGTGCTCATCGTTATAGCTTCTCCACCATGGGCATCAAGAACCTGGCGTCCATCATCAAGGAGCATGCTCCTGACGCGATCAAGGAGGGGGAGATCAAGAACCACTTTGGGCGCAAAGTAGCAATTGTACGTCAAGACAAACCCGTTCCCACCCGTCCCTATATCCCTATACCGTATTTCTCTTTTGGCTTGAAACTAACAGCGACGGACTCATAGGATGCGTATGACGTCCCTTAACACTACTAACCGATCCCATTTTCTTTCCGACCGCTGCTAACTTCTAGCAACAACCAAACAGATCCATGAGCATCTACAGCTTCCTCATCGCCGTCCGCAGCGAAGGCCAACAACTAATGGACGAAAGCGGCCAAACCACCTCTCACCTAATGGGCATGTTCTACCGCACCCTGCGCATGGTCGACAACGGGATCAAACCGCTCTACGTCTTCGACGGCGCCCCCCCGAAACTCAAATCCGGCGAACTCGCCAAACGCTTCCAGCGCAAGCAAGAAGCCCACGAAGGGCTCGAGGAGGCCAAGGAGACGGGTACGTCGGAGGACGTGGAAAAGTTCGCGCGCCGCACGGTGAGGGTGACGAGGGAGCACAACGCTGAGTGTCAGAGGTTGCTGAAGCTCATGGGGATTCCGTATATCGTTGCGCCGACGGAGGCAGAGGCGCAGTGTGCGGTTTTGGCGAGGGCGGGAAAGGTGTTTGCTGCTGCGAGTGAGGATATGGATACGTTGTGTTTTAATTCGCCGATTTTGTTGAGGCATCTTACGTTTAGTGAGCAGCGGAAGGAGCCTATTCAGGAGATTCATCTTGATAAGGTGCTCGAAGGGTTGGATATGTCGAGGGATCAGGTAAGAAATGCTCTTGTGCCCGGCGTCCTTTGCCATGAGGCTTTGTCAGGCTAACCTACGATTTTACTAGTTTGTCGACTTTTGCATTCTCCTCGGCTGCGACTACCTCGACCCCATCCCCAAAGTCGGCCCCACAACAGCCCTCAAACTCATCCGCGAACACAAAACCCTCGAAAAAGTCGTCGAAGCCATCCAAAAGGACCCCAAAGAGCGCTTCAAGCTCCCCGAAGACTGGCCCTACGAAGACGCGCGCGAGCTCTTCTTCCACCCGGACGTGCGCCCGGCCTCCGACCCCCTCTGCGACTTCAAATGGGACAAGCCCGACATCGAGGGACTCGTGCAGTTCCTCGTCACGGAAAAGGGGTTCTCGGAGGACAGGGTGAGGGCAGGGGGCAAGAGGTTGGAGAAGAATCTGAAGAGCGCGCAGCAGGTTAGGTTGGATGGCTTTTTTAAGGTGATTCCGAAGACGGAGGAGGAGAAGGCTGCGCTGAAGAGGAAGAATGAGGAGAAGAATGTGGAGAAGAGGAAGAAGTTGAAGGAGGAGAAGAAGGAGAAGGCGAAGGCTAAGGCGAAGCCGAGGGCTGCTGGTTAAGCTGCGGGCTGGGGATGCAGAGGACGTCACGATGGCGGTTCTTTTTGTTGCGGAGAGTCGTATTTTCGGTGTCGGGCAATTTGTATGGAATATGGAACGGGCGATAGAATCTGGTGGGTCTGCCTCGATTCGGGCGTTATGGAGTTTGGATGGGGATGGCAGCTATTACTGAAAACATTTGATAACATTGATGAGTTTTGATTCTTTACGAGTCTCTAATCTCCGACGCGCGATCAACCGAGCATCTGCCAAAAGACAGGGCATTGCAGTTCAAGCCCATTATCACGAGGTATATGTCAAGTGTGTTTTCGAGGACCTGTCAGATCAACATATGGCTCGCTCTCTCTCCGTCGAGAGGGTGGTCTAGAACATGTTCAAATGTCCCCGGAAATTGCTCCATGCCACATGGCAAATGCAACTATCCCATGCGCACAATGTTCACCATCTTCGAACACACCGCGCCGAGATGTGTGGGGTAAGATGTTTAACTGAGAAAGACACACAAAACCCTAGTGAAGCGGTGGCCCCAGACCACGAGCCAGAACAGATCAATCAAATGCGACGGGGGGTGCATGGGGGAAAAGAAAACCGACAAAGTGAATAAAAAGGTTCAGCGGCGTGTTCGAGCTGTGGGGTAAAAAAAAAAAAAAAAAAGTACGAGACTCCCGAGTTCAAAAGGGTTTCAATGTGAAGCTCGGCGACAGACTTTCGGTAATGGACCTCGGGTCATTGGCAGGAGCGAGTTTGGGTGACGTCAAGCTATTTTTTCCGAGGGAAGAAGAGCTGCGTTTGAGTGCGCTGAGATCTCACAAGCGACGGACCTTGGGCAGTTCAGCGGACTGTAGTCTAATACTTGGGTACCTCCAGGCCACTATGGAGCTGGCTGGGCGTCCTCTGTACATGTACTCCGTTGAAAATTGGGGTCACCTGATAAGTGTCCTTCAGTTGTCAGATCTAATTCGGACTCTGCGATTGGCCAAGTCTCTCTCACATGCGAAATTCTATTGGAGGTTATCAGGTCCATACCCCGTGGGCGCCTTCCCTCTGGTTTGGGGAAGGATCCCGTGGAAGAAATTGAATGGGATGTTTCCTTTTGGGGGGTACTTGCCATACTCTTGTCCCCTGGAGCAATGTATAAGTACATTCTCGGCGACTCTTTTAGGTGACAAAGCATGTGATTGTTCGACTGCAGCACTCTTTCCCCTTTGCCGACACCCCCGGCCTCACGTCTCCAGCAGTCCCAGCGTCCCATTTGAAGTCGCATCAAACGGTCTAGGTCCTTAAATGGGAATGTCAGCACCTTGACCACGATTTCATTCAAATCTCCCCATCTTCCCCCAACTCCAGTCCTAATTATTTTCCTCCCCGACCTGCTCCCTTCTTTCATCTCTCTCTCCATCATTCTTAAAATCGTATATTTATTTCTTGTTTTCGTTTCGCTTTGTGTGTGCTGAAGCGAAAATCCCAATCTCATCTCATTCCTATCTGGCCTCGGCTCATCTAACACGCCCTCCCCCCACCAACCTCCCATCACAATGTCCAAGGTATTCACCGCGAGCGAGGTCGCTCAGCATAAGACCGCGAAGGACCTCTTCATTACCATTGACGGCGATGTCTACGATCTGACCAACTTCCAAGATGACCATCCTGGTGAGTAGCTTTTTTTTCCCCCGATTTTCGCGTTTTGGGACAGCTCCGGAAGGGAGCTAGATTTCCCACTCACATCCACCCCACTTGCATGACCCAACTTGGAAAGTGCCGAGGTCTAACCTTTCGGCGCGATACGCCGCACCCAACAACAGGTGGCAAGAAGATCCTCCTCCGAGTCGCTGGCAAGGATGCCTCTAAGATGTTCTGGAAGTACCACGGCGAGGCTGTCCTGAAGAAGTACAAGCCCAAGCTCCAGGTCGGCTCCCTCGACACCAAGAAGGCTGCCGCGCCTGCCCCCGCCGCTGCTGCTCCCGCTCCCGCTCCCAAGCCTGCGCCCGCGAAGCCCGCGGAGAAGAAGGCCGAGGCTGCTCCCTCCGAGGCTCTAGAACCCTACGGCAGCCTCATCCCTTTTGCCGACCCCAACTGGTACCAGGGCGTAAGTAGTGCTCTCCTTCCACTCAACAGACAGCCGCGGCTCCTGCAGCCACAATTTCTTGCTGCGGAGCTTGAATGGCGACACAACAAAAAATTAATGGGCCCTCCTGTCCCTCCCGCCGTGCCATTTACAAACCCCGGCATTATTAGTGGACGCTAAGCTAACTAGGTGCATACCATAGTACCACTCCCCTTACTTCAACGAAACCCATGCTGCCCTCCGTGCCGAGGTTCGTGAGTGGGTCGAGTCCGCCATTGAGCCCTATGTCACCGAGTGGGATGAGAACAGGCTGGTCGATCCCGAAATCTACAAGGAGATGGGCCGCCGAGGCTACCTCGCCGGTCTCCTCGGTGTACACTACCCCACCCAGTACACCGGCGGCAAGTCGGTCAAGAGCGTGCCCCCCGAGAAGTGGGATCTCTTCCACGAGCTGGTCATCACCGATGAGATCTGCCGCGCTGCCTCCGGTGGTCTCGTCTGGAACCTCATCGGCGGTTTCGGAATCGGATGCCCTCCCCTCCTCAAGTTCGGCAAGAAGAGCCTCGTCGACCGCATCCTCCCCGGTATCCTGTCCGGTGACAAGAGGATCTGCCTCGCCATCACTGAGCCCGATGCGGGTAGCGACGTCGCCGGCCTCAATTGCGAGGCTAAGCTCAGCGCCGACGGCAAGCACTACATCGTCAACGGTGAGAAGAAGTGGATCACCAACGGTATCTGGAGCGACTACTTCACCACCGCCGTGCGCACCGGCGGTCCCGGCATGAACGGCGTCAGTCTTCTCCTCATCGAGAGGAGCTTCGGCGGTGTCAGCACCCGCAAGATGGACTGCCAGGGTGTCTGGTCGTCGGGCACCACCTACATCACCTTCGAGGACGTCAAGGTTCCTGTTGAGAACTTGATTGGCAAGGAGAATCAGGGCTTCCGAGGTAGGCTTTCCATCCTTCATTAATGTGCTTTGAAACTTTCGTCTAACATTCTATAGTGATCATGACCAACTTCAACCACGAGCGTATCGGCATCATCATCCAGGCCCTCCGCTTCTCCCGCGTGTGCTACGAGGAGTCCGTCAAGTACGCTTCCAAGAGGAAGACCTTCGGCAAGAAGCTCATCGAGCACCCCGTCATCCGCCTCAAGCTCGCCCACATGGCCCGCCAGATCGAGGCCTCTTACTCGTGGCTTGAGAACCTCCTGTTCCAGTGCCAGCAGATGGGTGACACCGAGGCCATGTTGAAGCTTGGCGGTGCCATTGCCTCTCTCAAGGCCCAGGCCACCGTGACCTTCGAGTTCTGCGCCCGCGAGGCCAGCCAGATCTTCGGCGGTCTCAGCTACTCCCGCGGTGGCCAGGGTGGTAAGGTGGAGAGGCTGTACAGGGACGTTAGGGCGTACGCCATTCCCGGCGGTAGCGAGGAGATTATGTTGGATCTCAGCATAAGGCAAAGCATGAGGGTGCACAAGGCTTTGGGCATGAAGCTGTAAGATGTTGAGCGGAAATCTTTTGTTTTCTCACCCTTTTGTTTAACGTCTTTGCACTGTGACCCTTCCACCCTCTCCTTTGTATTAGCTTCTTGTTCTTCCTCCCTTTTGTGTACTATTGGGTTTGATGAAGAAGGGAGCATCATATATTTTTCTTTTATTTAACTCTCTGTTATGGGGAATTTTTTGCATAGATAGATTGCCTAAGTGCTATGAATACGGAAATCATTTATGCGCTCATTCAAATCGTTTTGCCCACATAGGATTCGTAAATCGAAAAGGAAAGACTACCCTTTGGTACACCAAATCCTCGGTATGAATATGTTTCTCCTCATAAACATGAGATCGTCGATGTCTCGAGGGGACTTGGGTGCAATGTCGTGATGAAGACTGGTGATTGAAGACCATCAATCCCCCTCTGCAAGGACGCCCCTGCTGGACTGCAATGCGAAGTACCTCGGGACAAGGTACCTCGTATGATTGAAGTGGGTCGGGTTTGTCAGCCAAGACGGACTCCCCGGATTACGTCATGTCCCAACGGGACCCTCGAAGTTACTTGAACCTGGCAACATGTGAGTACCCTGCTGCTTGCTCCAGTTGAGCACATGAGGGAGATGTGAAGTCGGACTGGAGGGTCCTGATCGATAAGTTGATAGGAGAGTTTGATTGGCCTTGGTTACTTATTACTACTTCGTATGAATCTAAAGTAGTTTATTAGGGTACAAAGGCTCTTCTGAGAACTCGAGCGACTTGGACAAGACTCAGTATCGAACCTGCCTTTCATATGCTTGATATGGCTGATACATGAATATGTACATGTTGATTGGAGGAAGCCGCGAACAAACGTCGATCATTCCCTAAACTCTTTTTATTTCGGCTGCCTGCAACAAGTCCCTCCTTCCCCTAATAACACGACCTCATGCCACCCACAACATCTACACAAACAACTGCTCTTGCAAACGACTTCTTTTCCCAACTTCGATCGCATTCCATTGAGCGCGCGATCTTCCAGGATTGCTGGAGTCATTGCGCTTAGTTCTCTTCGTTGACAAAAGGGATATTAGCGACGCCATCGTACGATAAGGACCCCGCGCTATCGACTCACCTGTGATATATCAAGACGACCAGGCCCGACAGACTGTTGAGTCGCCTCGAGATTGAGAAGCGATAGGTCAATCGAACTGTATCTAGACTTTTCCTGCGCGTCGTTCAGCTCCGACGATTTAATCAACCGAAGCAATTCAACAAGTCGCAGAGCGATCTCATCTCCGATCCATTTAGCTGCCTAGCCCCTCCATCAAAGAGCGCCATCACCATGTCGCAGGCGCAGGCTCCCCAAGCATCCCACCCCATCCTTCTCAACCTCCCCCCTCCTTCCTCGACCCCCGAAACCCCCGACATGCCGTAAGTTTTTAACAAAAATCTAATCCCCCACAGCCGAATTCTCTCTCGTATTCTTGCTAACGTCTCGTCCGATCCAGCGGCACCCCCACCAGCACAACAACCTCCCTCTCCGCCCTCTCCACAATCGCAATCAAAGATGGCCACCGCGGCCACCTCCCCCCCACCGGCCGCCACGCACACACGCCCTCCACAACCTCCCTCGAAGCCGAGCGCGCGGACCGCATCTCGCGTCTCGCGGGTCTCGAGCGCGTATCGACCCTCCGCACGGCCACTTCGTCTCCCGGGTTGCCGGCTCCGCATGGCCCGACGCCTGCGTATTTCGATGCGCGGGGCCAGCCTGTTGCAATTACGAAGATGAGCACGGTGGGCACGGCGAGTCGCACGGGGAGCTGCAGTGGACGGGAGGATGAGGAGGAGGATGACGATACGCGGACTACGACGGAGCAGGATGAAGATATGTTGAGTTTGGATAATAATTACCGGGAAGGGGGATCGGTGATGAGTCATGATGTGGATGATGAGTTGGCGAATCGCTCCGTGGGCGGGTTCGATGATCGGATGAGCGACGATGGGTCAGCTAGTCTAGTGGGATTCGGCGAAGGGGCGGGAAGCACCATCTCCGGACCCATCTACCAACGCCGTCCCCTCCCCGGAATAGTAGCCTCCGCAGAAGCAGGCACTCGCGCCTTCCTCTTCGAGCGAACATCCTCATCCCTAAGCGAGGGAAGACGCGAAGGTCCCCCTTCCCTGGTGCATAGCGCCAGCGGAGGAGTAGAGACGCCCATCAGCCCGACGGCCGTGCAGGAACGGCGCGCGGCGCGGATGACGAACGGGATTGCTGTGGATGGCGCGGGTGTTACGAGCACCGCGGCGGATGATGATGTTTTTGTCGATACGACGGCAAGGGAGCCCGTGCAGGTTATGCCAAGTTCGCCGAGGAGGCATCGGAAGGGGGGCTCTTCTGGACTGGGTGTGCCGAAGTCGCCGTGAGCGGATGAGAGGAGACGTGACGCGCCGAGAAAGAAGAGGAGGAGAGAGAAGAACAAAAACGAGGATGTCTTGAGGACTTTGGCTCCTCTGTTTGGAGTGCGTGTTGTCTCGAGTTGTTATGCTTTGAAAATATGGGGATGGGTCTTTTTGAACGTGTATTATTGTTTTTGCGGTCCTGGGAAACGGGGATATGGTTTTTGTATGGGATATGGCTAGGTTTCCTGGTTTGGAGTTTCGGACTTGACCTTTTCTTTCCTTTTTGTTTCTTTCTCTCTTCTTTTATCTCGTCCGTTTTCTTGTCCTTGTTATCGAGTGTTCTGTTCGGGGAGGTTTGGTCCGGAACCAAGTACATGCGGATATGGAAAGTAAGAAGAATCAGTATTAGATATGGATGCTAAGAACTTTTCTTGTTTTCTGCAATTGAAGTTGATTTACTCGGACTAACCTGCTTCAATCGTCCTTAAAGGTTGTATCAAGGGTGGGTTTTGCATCATCTTGTGCAGGGTGGCGGGTTCGGAATGGGGACACAGAACAAGATTAGAACAAGATTGTTCTGAGGAGAGGGATGGGGTTGTCCGCATTGTGGGATTTCTTTTATCTTTTTATTTATTTATTTTTTCCTCTTCTCAGGCGGGATGGCTCTCTACTTCGCAAACTGCGGCAAATGGAAAGATGTAGAGCGTTTCAAAGATCGACGTGATATATACAGAATAACTATATGTGTGCTCAACAACGATATCTCTTCAAACGAGCAACACAGAACGGAACACATGTTCGAAGAAAGAAGGGGTACTTCATGGGACAAAGAGAAACGCAAAAAGATTTTTATTTCACCTCCCAGAAACACCAACAACCCCCCTTTCTAAACAAATCATATGCGAAAAACTTCAGTCAGTCCAGTCCAGTCCACTCCCGAATACAATAAAACAGAATAGAACAGAACAGAGACAAGGTATATCCAACCAAAAGACAAACAATGCTAAGCGAATGGGTATAACAGAACAGAATAACAAGTACATGCAAGAGTAATGCTCAGAAATAGAAAAGAAGAAAGCAAAAGAAATAAAAGGGCAGAGGGGGGACGGGAGATATGAAAACAAAACACTCCCCATATCATAAAACGTCAACGCTCAGCGGTTTATAAATGCAGCCACAACATCGCTTCATCAAATGCGCATGCTTCACTCCCAATGCCCCCGACGCACCCAACCCGCCCAATGCTTCAAAGTCTCCAACCTCTCCCACTCTCTCACCCCTACGAACACAAAAAGTCCAATCCCACACTTCTGGCAACGCCCTGCCAGTCCCACACGCTCATCCACTCCCCTCGCCCCATGAGCCTCCACACCTCCTCCAACACCTCCAGCACGAGATTGCAATTCCTCAGCCCTGTATATCCCTTGACACACTTGACCGCCGCCCGGATTCGTTCCTGCTGCCCGGGGCTGACACACGCCGTGCCGAGCACGAGGGAGGGTATGAGAAGCAACGTCTGCGCCGGGTCGGACGGCTTAAAACTCTCAATGATGGTAAGCGACTGCTCGATTGCTAGCGTTATACGCGGGTCTTGCATTGGCGCGTTCTGCATCGGTGAAGAAGGAGAAGATAGGCGAGACTCGTCGTGGTGGTGGAACCTGTCGAATGTGCCATCGCTGTGCGTCGATGCAGGTCTCGGAGACGAAGCCCGGCGCGTCAAAGTCGCCGTGTCGTGGGAATCCGACGTAGACATCGAGGGCGACGGGCAAGAGTGACGCCGGAGCTCGCCCATGTGAGGATCTATGCTGCTCGAGACTGGGCTAGGTGGTGCGTGCGTCTTGTGGTTTGTCGACTCCACCATTCCATCCGGACCTGGAACCCACGGCGTAGGAAGACGGGTACCGTCATTCGGCGGGTAGATAGTCCTAAACAGGTACACCCACATCGTCTGCTTGTAAAGGAGCGACACCCTATCCCTGCTATCACCTGGAGGCCAATGCGGCATCCATTTCCTGATGCCCGCCTCGATGTCGGCGGCGCGATAAAGGCTCTCATAATCCACCGCAGACTCTGCATTCGCGATTATGTTAGCCCTGATAGTGTTCCGAATGCTAGTAATTCGCCTCATGTAGCCGAACAGTCCATCGGTAACGCCAATAAGCCGCGGTGGATGCAAATGGACCTCTGGAGACCACTCAGCCGAGTTAAGCGTAGGGTCGCAGTGGTGGTGGTGGTGGTGGTGGTGCAGCCCGTAAGAGTTCGAAGGGTACGACACTAGTTCGTCGGCAAAGATGTGATACTCGAAGAATTCCGTAATAAAGCCAAGGAAATTCGGGTCTTCGGGAGGCGAGTGCTGAATCAGACTCTTGTAAGCTTTCAGATGCACCCTGTGCTCGCCTCGTGGGTTTCCTTCGACCAAAGTTTGCAATAAGAGACACAACATCTGGCTGTATCTTGCTGTAAGAATCATCGAATGGTCCGGGTCGTTTTTGTCTCCCGATCTCGAGATATCCTCATAGAAACACTTCATAGACTCCTCGTGGTGGAAATCTGCTCGGTCCTGGAGGGATTTGGCCGTCACATCGGTATTATCTTGGAGAATCTTGGCGCCATAGGGAGTCCCGTAGTCAATGTGCTTGCCGCTCAGAGCCAGGATAGAATGCATGAGTCCTTTGTGGCGTGTGGCGATCTGTAGAACGATGTCTTTGAAGGCATTTCTGTGCTCGCCCTCCACCGTCAAGACGTTGCTAAGGTGGTTGCAATAGTGTTTCCAGAAAATCTTATCTTCCGTCGTCTCTACGGCATGGAACAGAGGCTGCATGGTTATCACAGGAAGGCTCTCCCTGCGGAGTCGAGCTGCAACACAAAACGTTAGAAAATCCCAAACAGGGAATCGGACACAATATCAGAACTCACCTTCCTCAGCCTTCTCCTTCCCACTCTTCCAGATCTGCTTCTCGTGATAACCCTCGCACACAACGGCATTCTTTTCGCAATTCATGCCTTAAAAGAGAAGTTAGATGGATGTTGTGGGGTAGTAATGTATCTACCTATTCACATAGTCCGAGCTTAGGTGGCGGGAGATCGAGGGCACTTACACCTCGGCTTTGCTTCGTCACACTTCTTCTTCCGCTTCCGGCAAGTAATACATCCCGTTTTCGACCGACCCTTGGTGACCTTGTTCGTGTTGGCGACTGGGGTAAGCGGATGCTTCCGAGGACGGCCCCTCGGACGCTTTGTCTTCATCTCATCGATCTTAGGGCTCGCATCAGGCTCCTCATTCGCAGCTGGTAACTGGCTCAAAAGGTTCATGTCGAACTCGTCGACAACCTCCACCTTGGGTACCATCGGGATTCCATCGCACTCGTGCTGCTGGGTCCAGAGAGCGGTGGCTTCATGGCCTGGCTTCTCAAGGCTGTTCGTGCCCCACGAGTTCGTATGAGAGGCTGTAACCGGGCTCATCAACACTGATGATGACGCTTCGCTGTCAGGATCCCGGAGGTCCATACCGGGGCTCACGGGTGACAATTGGCCTGTGTGATTCACTGCCACAGACGCCTGGCCCGACCACCCGCGTGGGGAAGAAGGGGACCGAGGCATGTCAGCCTCGTTGTGGAAGCTCGCGTCCGACGAAATACTGCGACCGCCAGACCAGGAATAAGTGTATTCGGCGTTGGTAATGCTGTCGAGTGGTTCGAATTCAGTCATGTGTTCCTATTGCAAAACGAAAGGCTTGGGGGTTCCGGCCATGAATTATTAGGTTTGCGCGTAACGAAAACTCCACCGATGTTGATGGGACGTGGGAAACTGGTTGCAATATTGCCCGACACCCGTCCACGTTAGAAAGGCTGCCCAGGTCACCGTAGATATACACCTCTCTCGGAGATCGGATAGATGAAGAAAAGTGACGACGGAGGTTCCCGCTTCCAAGTATTTAGGCGACACCGGTTTCGGGGGCGCGGTCCGACTAGTCAGGTTCCAGGTAGTCTCGCGTGGAGAGAGGGATACCGGAGGAGTAGTTAAAGGGCCAAGGAAGACAGGAAGATGTTCCTTGAAGATTAACAGGCGTAACAAGGTAAATGGATGCCAAGGCGAATGATGGCAAGATGTGCCGGAGAGAGGGAGGGAGAGTGTGTGTGCGTGCGTGTGTGTGTGTGTGTGTGGAAAATGGAGGAGGTGAGGAGGGAGGTGACCGTAGAACAAGGAAGTGTAATGTGGGGGGCAAGGCCGAAGAAGGGAGCGGAGCGAGATGTAGGTATTACACCGGCCAACCGAGGTGTCCGCCGATCAAGGAGCAAGGCCGAGTGAAAATGGTGTGTTGATCAAGTCAGTGGGGAGTTGAAACAGATGACCCTCCTTAAAAACAGGACGTGGTATACAGCAAAAGCGCTTCTTGGGCGGCCACGATAAAAGAGGGCACCTTGTGCCTTGTTGACCTGCCCGGCAGGAGAGGGGGGGAACTGTGTGTCGGACTGCCGGGAAAGGAACGTAGATTACTTGGTAGGGGCTGGCTCTGATGGGTATGAAGTAGGCAATATACTTTCGTCCAAAGCCATATAAAATCTTTGAACAGAAAGAAGAGGAGTGGGGGAAGGGGGGGGGGGGGGGGATTGAGCGGGTCAATATGGGAGCCGAGCCTCTTCCTTCCTAGCTGCATTTACCAACACACATATCCACACACACAATGACAAGCGCGCTGCTCAGAGGCATACACTCACTCACTCACGCACGTACGTCGTACGTCGTACGCACCCACACGCCAGGTGGTGCGCGCAGTAACCTTGATCTCGTTTTCCCACTCAGAGTGAAGGTGCCCCACAAAAAAGGCCAAGGGGAGCTCGAGCTACCAGCCTCTAGCTGATCCGGAGAGGTGGAACAGAGACATGTTGACAAAAAAGATTGTGGAGCGGATCTGGGGGTGGGTAGGATGGCAGCTAGCTGAAGGTTCTCGTTGATGAACAAAACGGGAATAGATTAGTGATGGTTGATGATGGAAGTGGTAGAGAGGGAGGGGTGTGGGGACGAGGAGGACGATCAGCCCGCGGAAACACGACGAAGTAGTCTTTGGCAATGGTTTGATAGGAGAAGAAGGTTTGAAGGTGGAGGGATGAAAAGGGAGAGGAAGTGGGATAGGGAGAGTGTAGAAAAGAGGGGCACGATCGTCCTAGTTAAGAGACCCGGGTGGTCATGGACACACAGGCGCAGACACACACACACACACACACATAGAGAGAGAGAGAGGCACATATAGAGCCACACATACACCTAGCGTGAAGACGATCGAGGACGGGTAGGGCAGAGCTGAGGGTCAATTGGGTGCGGGCAGTTGAGAAGGGAGGAGGGGAAGAGACGTGCCAACGGGAGCTTTTTTTTTTTTCTTCTTTTTGCACGAGAATGGGTGTCCAGCCTGGGATGGGGGGGGGGGGAAGGAGAAGAAGAGGGCTAAAAAGGGTAATACAATACGACTGTATGTATTAGTCCGAAGCCGTGTTAGTGCGCAGCTTACGAAGTACACGATAATCAGAAAGCAGAGATCCAGCAAAAAACATCCTCTCATCCTCGCCAGGACATCGTGGACAAGGTACCTTGTAGATTGCGGAGCTGGTGTTCCTCCCCTGTGTTCCTCCCCTGCTCGACCGACCAATGTGGCGGCGGACGGGCCACTCTGGGGTTTGTCAAGGGAAAGGGGTGTTGGTTCGCAAGCGTCAGGGATCATGGGGAGATGTCTTGGTGCAGCAGGGGTGTCCCTAAATGGTGGAAGGGATGGGTTGTATAACCTGTGGGTAGGGGGATCTTGCTTGGGCATTTCACGCGCTAGAGTCTAGACGAAGGATCAAATGAAATAATACACAGGTAACGCAGCACTATGCTGATGGTTGCGTCGGCAGGGTTGTGTGAAGGATCCAGAAAAAAAAGGAACCGAAAAAAAAAAAAGTATCCCGTCCCCAGCAAGGAATTCCAAGGCATTGGCTTCCACGCTGTGTGTACACTAGCAAGAACAACTTGGAGATGCAGCAACAGAGAACATCGCCAAGACGTCGCTCGGTCTCCAGGTGCCGTGACAATGTGTAGAAGCACAAGCGGTGGACGTATAAAAAGCTGTGGACGGAAATGAGACGATGGATTGACCACCCATGCCCCTCCCGGTCAACGGCCAAGCCAGGGAAGACCATCCGCGGCGACATTGTAAGTACGAAAGCAATCCCCGCTCCCCCGCTTCAAGGGAGCTGGCAGAAACATTGAGACTCGCCCGCAAGGGTTTGCCATGGCGCATATAAGCGACATTTTGTTTTTGATTATACTCTCTATGGATGTCTTTCATCAGTGAGTGCCAATATGAAGAATGAAGCGCGCAAAAGAGGGGAGTTCGCTAGGTCTGGGACCCAGGCCGCTGTTATTCATACCTGGGAAGGAAAAAAAAAAAAAAATTGATGCCAGAGAAGGCGTCGACCGGGAAATGCTGGGTTTTGCCACACACGAAAGAGCAGGCTGGTTTGGGCCGTCTGCAGACTCCAGAGTGGTCATTCGCGATCTCGACATCAACCGCAGCTGTGGGAGTATTGTACAACCCCAAAGTGCAGTGGATGAAACCCTGCCTGACGATTGACGGTCGAGGAGGGATAAGAAGAAAATTGCAGAAATCCCGGTTTACTTCGTAAGGCATCAAAAACTTGTTGGTGCCTCTCGGGAATTCCAATGTTTCTCATCCCCTCTTGTCATCTCCTCTGGTCATCTCAATCTGTCATTAGGCTCTCTCCCTTCGCTCTTGCTTCTCCCCGCTTTCTTCCTTCCGTCCAGAGGCGAGTGTCATTCTGAAGGGCAAGTGCAAGTGCTAAACAGAGCTAGAAAACGTCATTGTCCAGTCATGTGGGTCACGCAGCCGCCAGGCGTTGGGATTTGCTTGTGACATTGATGATCAGTGTCCAAAGGTCCACTGCATAAGCTATAAAGTGCACAACACTCCAGCACAACAGTACACAACTGCTCCTTCGTAGTCAATACTTACTCTGCAGGGATGGAGATGTGGCTGAGGAAGTTACTAGTACACGACAATCTTGGCTCTTTTCGTGCAATCCGCAGACAGAAGGACCAGCTCACATCACTTTTTGCCCGTCTCATCCCCAAGTCCCGTCATGGTCCTTCCCCCAATTCTAAAACTAACGGAGAATCTTCTCCACGATGCTACTCGTACAAAGAATATATTACACTCCCGTTTATTGCTTGTACGAAGTCGAGACGAAATGTCCACATCTAACAAGTACGAAGTACAATCCGATCGTTTGATGGAAGCCTCAATCAGTGGTCAAGGCATGCTACGACTGCTGGGAGGGCCATGGGCAGCCCGTTGTGGCTGAGAGCGTTGCTGAGCTCTCCGCCGGATTATTACCTACTTGCATTGGTTAGGTTGATCTAGTTCAGACACCTCCTGCGCAGCTAGTAACGAGGCCGGTCCTCACAGGCTAACAGTAGGTGGCGGTTAAGCTTAGGCTCATCTCGATTCGCCCGCTTGCTACTGTTGCCTGCGAATATTCCCGGCCATGTGAGGAAAACCTGCTTTTCTGTTGTGTACTTCACCGTGTGCTTTTTGGCTTAGAGTGAACACGCGGTTTCGCTATTCTCAAGTCAGGTTCGAGTCTCAAGCAAACAGGACCTCGATCATGAAAAATGTAACCATGTGGCTCCGAGGTACATCCGTACAGTACCTTGGTAGTTGGACCGTGGATTGAGGACGAGTACTCCGGGGTTGAGCCTGCCCGTGACGCCAAGTTCTTCATCCTCGACAGGCTCACCTTGTATTATCATACCGTCACTTCCTTCAGAGACAGCCGGCAACAGACCTGGACTTAGACCTGGCTGTGGGGAGGTTCTGGAATCCCACTGGAAGGAGCAATGAACCACTTTCTCATCTCCTATGGAAGTACTTCGTACACTAATCGAAGAGAAAGGGGCACGAAGTTTTACAGGTGCAACTTCAAACTACGTAGGCCTGAGTAACGCGTGGCCGGAATGATACCTCACGATGCCGACAATAGCACGCCCGGGAAAAACCATGAAGGATGCTGAGATGAGGTTCTTCAGAATCAAAACAGATCCTTTGCTTCTCTTTCCCCCCTTCTTTTGTCCTACCTGACCCCCGCTCGCAGGATTTATGGTTTCCGGGCGACAGTCGCATCCATGATTTCTGCATCTCCAAGCTTCATCACATCAAACCCATTCGTTTTCTAATTTGAGAACATGCGTCCGGCCGGCATTTCTCTTTCGGTGTGCCACGCCCGGCTGTCCTCGATTCATGGTCCGTCCCGGTAGAGTATCCCATCGCCCCCTGCCTGTGCGTACCCTTTCGCTTGTAGTATTAAGTATTTTGCTCAACAAAAGAAGGAGGATGCCGAGATTACTGACTGTCTTAAGATCAAGGATCAGGGCAAGAGGAAAGAAACGACTCTTTCAGCAGCCGAGTCCCGCCAAAGCCCCCCAAAACCCCGGTCCTCATGTGTGGAATGCGGAACGCTTCGGAACGCTCATCGTCGCGTCGTAGCATTGGTGGGGGTGCCAATGGCCTGATTTCACACAGACATTAACCTTGGAATGGACGCTGGACATCAGTGGGCCGAACTGGGCATAGGCTCATTTCTTCATTTACCACTCCACACAGAATATATCCCGAGTTGGTAAGAGCTGGGCTTGCATTAAAAGCCAAACCACCAATA